TGTGATTCTTCCACAGCAGCAAGTTTTGATTAATATTATTATTTTTAGAATTTTTTGTATAATAATTATAGTATAAAAATATATTTATATATCATTTTTATTTTCCTACTTTTTTTACACTTTTTGTTGTCAGTTTATGTCGGTCACTATGACTGGTCGATAAAATAACTTTTTTAATTTTTGGTTATTATTCGGCCGCTCCAAACGTAGGAACATCCCATAATAATCACCTCAGAGACGGATCCTGACAACGTCTCACAATCAGATCTCGCGGAAGCCCACAAGGTCGATGGCAAAGCCATTGCTGGTATCTGGGCGCTCCGCTGCTGCTGACCGGGTGCAGTTCTCCGCCTTGGCCGGCAGGTGGCGCTGTGTCCCGGCCGAGCCTCTGCCACTGAAAGCCGTGCTGCCCAGAGTTCAGAAATTCAGCTGCTCCAGTAGTCTGGGGAAGCCTGAGAGCCGGGCCCCCTGGGGCCACACACATCAGACACAGTCTGGGGAAGCCTGAGAGCCGGGCCCTGGGGCCACACACATCAGACACAGTCCAGGGCCAGGTAAGTGGTGTTCTCTATCAGAGGGAGGGGCATTGTGTGGGGGGATTACAGCGCGGAACAGAACACAGAGTGGTTGTTGTTTTATTTATGTTTATATAAATAATAATAAATAAATGTGTTCTGTTCCGCGCTGTAATCCCTCGCCAGTGACAAAAGATCCGCACGCGCCGGAATGAGATGACACCTTTGGACAGTGTGTTTATCGCAATTGGACCTACCCCGTGTTCTGGTCGATCTCATTGGGCCGGTCCTACAAAAAGTAGATCTTCGCGCACAAAATTGTGGGCACCCCTGCGCTGCCCATTCACACTAAGCAATTTATCGCACGATTTCCGCCGCGATATCGCGAGAAGTCGCCGGCTAATGCTATTCAATGGAGCTGTCTTAGCTCCATGTCGCGCGTCGCTTCTACCGGACCCTTTTTTCAGGGGATTTTGCCTTTTTCTAATGGAGCCCGACGGGGGAGGTGGCGCTACCAGTGCTGGAACGTCGCCCCGAAAATCGCGCTATCCCGGCCGCTGCAAAAGGTATGTCGCTACGTGTGAATGGGGCCTTAAGGTTCTTGATGGTGCCGAGGTGATCAGAAGTGATACATTTCCCACACAGAGATACATTGTAACATTGTTCTTGTAATGTATCTAAACATCGTCTATGGAGCTGTCACAGGGAATAGTGGGGAGGGGACTCGCTCCGCTCCCTCTCCGCTCCCTCTCCGCTCCCTCTCCGCTCTCGCTCCGCTCCCGCCCGCTCCTTCTCTGCTCTCGCTCCGCTCCCGCTCCGCTCCCTCTCCGCTCACACTCTGCTCTCGCTCCGCTCCCGCTCCCTCTCCGCTCCCTCTCCGCTCCTTCTCTGCTCTCGCTCCGCTCCCGCCCGCTCCTTCTCTGCTCTCGCTCCGCTCCCGCTCCGCTCCCTCTCCGCTCACACTCTGCTCTCGCTCCGCTCCCTCTCCGCTCCTTCTCCGCTCCTTCTCCGCTCCCTCTCCGCTCCCTCTCCGCTCCGCTCCCTCTCCGCTCCCTCTCCGCTCCGCTCCCTCTCCGCTCCCTCTCCCCTCCGCTCCCTCTCCGCTCCCTCTCCACTCCGCTCCCTCTCTGCTCCCGCTCCCTCTCCGCTCCCACTCCGCTCCCTCTCTGCTCCCGCTCCCTCTCCGCTCCCACTCCGCTCCCTCTCCGCTCGCACTCCGCTCCCTCTCTGCTCTCGCTCCGCTCCCTTACTCCGCTCCCTCTCCGCTCCCTCTCCACTCCGCTCCCTCTCTGCTCCCGCTCCCTCT